TGCCTCATCCAGCCTTAATAGAAGAGGAGGTGCCTATTCTCACTACAACTTGATATATGATGACTGACTGATATCCATGGGAGGCCTGCCTGTATCTGAAGAGAAACAGAGGATGAGGGGTGAATAGGGGATGGGAGGAAAGGAAGGAGTGGAAACTTTGGTTGAGATGTAAAAGCGAATAAATAAGCAAACAAGATGAAAAACAATGTCTCATAGATTATATATGAATGAATGTCATGAAGAAGGGGATCTATTGTGAGAAGGGAAAGGACATGGTAATAAGAGGGTAAAGAATGTAATTAGGATGAGTACCACCAACATAAAATGATAAACATGAAAATGTCATCATAAAACCTAGTCTTTCAGTCTTTTACATTTATTTATTTATTTAGTTAGTTAGTTAGTTAGTTTTTTCTGTATTGTTTTGGAGCCTGTCCTGGAACTAGCTCTGTAGACCAGGCTGGCCTCGAACTCACAGATATTCGCCTGTCTCTGCCTCCTGAGTCCTGGGATTAAAGGCTTGTACCACCAATACCCAGCAACCCAGGCTTTTATATACCAACTAAAAACAATAATAATTCATTGTTACAATATGCTCAACCTGAGCTATTTACAGCAGATGTTTTGCCTCTCCTAAGTGGAAAAAATGAATAATGTGTGTCTCCCTGGGTAGACTCATATGAATAAAAAGAGTATTCACATGAGGAATTCACACAACCCTTCATCCAGCTCCAGCAGGTTGGCATCTGGAATCTCACTGAAAAATCAGCTCTCTGAAACCTCAATGCTTTTGTTTGTGTATGAGAACAGAAATCATGATGGGAAAAAAAAAAAAAAAAAAAAAAAAAAAAAAAAAAAACAAGACCCTTTCCTATATGCTCTGCCTGTTTCATAGATGCCCTGAACCATCTTACGAAAGCAGAGAAGATTCTGGATGCTTGAAAAAGTGGTACTAGAAGTTCTGTGGGATTCTCAGACTCTGCACAGGAGATATGATAAAATAGCTTCCCCTTTTTGTGAATTGCCACATTGCAAGAACTTGCGAGACCAATGACATATAAAAGAGGAGTAAGAAAGGGAGTGATGCCTGAAGAGAGGAGTTTGATCATCTGAGCAAACACACACACAAGGGCCCATCTGTACTCGGGTCCTGACTTCTCAGATATCCAGAGAGTTTCTCCTCATCCTCCTTTCTCCTTTCTGTCAGTGTTTTTCTTACAAACAACACTGACAAAGCAATGCAGTAAATGCCTATCATGTGAGGACAGACTACTAAAAAGAGGAAGTTCGCCTTTTGACAGCTTCAAAGGGTCCCCGGAAAAAAAAAAAAAAAAAAAAAAACAGAATTACCATTGCTCACCCACAGTCTCTAGAAGGATTAGTGATGCTTCTCACTTTTCTTTAAGCTCACAGTGCTTTATTTAGATATCTTTTAGATTTCTGTCTGATGTCCTTTCAGCTATCTCCAGCCCCACCCAAAGAGTGTAAGCACACTAGAGGAAATCCTCTGAGCAAACCAGCACATGCTGTACCAAAATATTATGTCTTGACTTTGTTCTTTTACACCATCACAAATAAAGGAAAGAGATACAATCAAAATAATAGTCCACTTAAATGATAAACAAGAGAATTTAAAGAGACATGACCCAATTGCTCAACCACGGAGTGACAGCCCATGAGAAGCTTATGAGATCTGGAAGATACACACATATATTTTACCTTAACTACTATATAGTTTTGAGAATTTATCATGGGAGATTTCTCGAAAGCATGCATGTTAAGTTTAACGCGCAAAACACACTGACATTGTGAATAAAATGTTTTTCTAATGAAGCTTTCAAAACAAGATAAGGACACAAGCATATATGGTTACCCAATTTCCCAAATCATCTCTTATTTCTGTTTGGAGAATATTTGAAACTTCAACAAAAGATCCAGACACATAGCAGGGATAGAATATGCCACCTTAGTTAAGTTATTTCCCTAAAACTTCTCTATGGTGTGTAATCAAGAACATGACATTATAACAGGTGCAAATCACATCTGCCTATGAAATCCCCTGAAACTTGAGGAGGAGTTTTTAGACAAAGTGCAAATAACCCATCTCCACTTACAGATAATATCATAAGTCGTGACAAGAGAAACTAAGTCATTCAGCTTCCAAGGACTAATCATAGTCAAACTCTGAGATGCTTTGTTCATCTTAGCCAATTTATAAGCCCATGTAATGGTGGCAATATAACAGAAGTCCATAACTTCCTACCCACTCACATGTTCTCAATTCCTTCCTTTATGATCAGTCTTCACAGAGAAAGTCATCATGAAACAAACAAACAAACAAACAAACAATCAACTGTGATCTGTGGTCTGGATCCAGGTTTCCTGATTCCTTGGAAGATCTGGAAAGGTGTTGTCCATCAGTTATGACAGGACACATATCCTGATAATGAACTTTAAAAAAAAATCCAATTCTTACCAAAATGTCAACCATTCTTAGCAAATACCAGGACTTCATCTGCTGACCATATTGAAAACAAGTTGGGTTGACATACAACTTTAGGCACAGTCTGAATTATGGCTGCTCAGACTCCTATCCTACATGCCTTGGAGCCAATAAAGTTTATATGGAGCCTATGTTACTGAGAAGTTTGTAACTAATGTGTTAAAACTCTGAAATATTGTGAGAGAGAAATTATGTAGTTGTTTAGAGATCAGAAGATGTTTTCTGACATCAGATGGTGAAAGTTTTACTGTTTGTGCATCACAAGATTCCCTCTTTGCTCACTCATCTTTGCTATTGTTGATTAGATGAAAGCAGCTGTAGTAAATTTAAGAAAAATTGAGTAACACTGAATTCCAATTATGATTTGTGAAACAAGGTAAAGGATCAGATTTTGTTCCTGGCTCATAGTTTGCCAACTTAATAAACCCTGCACGCCTGTAGTATGTACAGGTATATACTAGAGATATGTAGAGGACACAGTGGAAACACTGCTGCTTTTGTATGCTGAAAGACTTAGTATAAAATATTTTAAATGAACCTTCAGTGATTTATGAAGTATGAAATATTTATTTTGTAAATGTATTTGTTTTTAGAAATCGCATATATGCATACAATGTATTTAAATCACAACTATCCCCTACTTCCCCCAGGGAGCCCCTACTGTCATCACAACTTCATTTCCTCTATTTCCTTAATAACCCACAGAGTCCAATTAGTGTTGCTTTTGTGTTCATGAGTATAGGGCTATCTACTAAGACTGGGGCAACCTACCATGGAACACACACACATACTCTCTCTCTCTCTCTCTCTCTCTCTCTCTCTCTCTCTCTCTCTCTTACTCACTCACTCCTTCAGTATTTATCAAGTTGCTAGGGATAGAGACTCGAGAGTCCCTGGTCTACCCATGTTAGAATGTTGATTGGCTTGTTCTTGTTCCAGTCTTGTGTAAGCAACCACAGCTACTATGAAATTGTGAGAGTGAAGGTCCTATCGTTGCTAGAATAGATGATTTCACAGTATCTCTCTCAGGGCTCTGGCTCTTCCAATCTTTCCTCCTCTCTTCTCTATTGTTCCCTGAGCCTTCGAGGGGAGTGACTCATGGCTGGTACTATAAAACTGGTAAATAACCTATGCCTTGGGAGGACATAAGTCATAGAGTAAAGTATACTAGTCTTACTTTGTTACAAAGAAATAGTATCAAAATGTCTTCTAGATATTTGTCTTTACACCCATAGAAGAGTACAACTTCATCTCTCATCAGTTAATGGAGAGTGCCAACTTCTCAGAGAGTCAAGAACTGAGTATCCACTAAGTATTCAGCCCTAAGTGGAAGAGCTATATCCTAGAATCATTTTTCTAAAACCAAAGTCTCTTCAAACAGCCAACTGATGAACATGGTGAGTTTGGGATTTTGCCTTGTGATCCTTCCTTTATTAATTATTATTATTATTATTATTATTATTATTATTATTATTATTTTCTTATTTTACATATTGATCACAGTTCCCTCTCCCCTGCTCCCTCCCTACCTCCATGCCCTCTGACCCCACTCCCATCCCACCACCACCACCCCCACTCCACAGAAGGGTGATGCTTTCCGAGAGAGTTCAACAAATTCTATCAAGTCATTTGGAGCAAGGCCCTCCCTCCTGCCTCTAGGTTAAGGGAGTATCCCTCCATGAGGAATGTGCTCCCAAAATCCTTTTGTGCACCAGGAATACACCATGGTTCCACTGTCAGAGGTTCCTTAGACTGCCCAGGCCTTCTAACTGAGACCCATGTTCAGGGTGTCAGAGTAGAGGTCCAATGCTGGTTTCCCAGCTATCATTCTGGGGGTCTATTAGCTCCCCCTTGCTCAGGTCAGCTGTCTCTGTGGGTTTCTGTAGCCTGGTCTTGCCCCCATTTTCTTATCACTCCTCACTCTCTGCATCTGGATTCTAGGAATTTGGCTCAGTGTTTAGCTGTGAGTGTCTGCGTCTGTTTCCATCAGCTACTAGATGAAGGCTCTATGATGGCAGATAAGTTAGTCATCAATCTCATTATCAGGGAAGGGCATTTAAGGTAGCCTTTCCACTGTTGCTCAGATTGTTAGTTGGGGTCATTCTTGTAGGTCTCTGAACACTTCTCTAGAGTCAGTTTTCTCTTCAAACCTATAATGGCTCCCTCTTGTATAGTCTCTCTCTCTCTCTATCTCTCTCTCTCTCTCTCTCTCTCTCTCTCTCTCTCTCTCTCTCTCCCCCCCTCTCATCTATTCCTCCCCTGACTCAATCTTCCTAGTTCCACATGCTCTCCTCTCCTCCTTGTGATCCTTTTAAAATGGGCCCTGAGATCACTTGGACCATCACTTCAAATCTAGAACCTTGCTCAAAAGTAAGCAGTTAAGTTTGGGTGCTGTAAGGAATACTGATACAAAAAGAGTGTCACATTCTACCTTTCTGTTTCCTCAACCTCTGCTTACACCAGCAATCCTTTCTCTCTGACTTCCTGTTTCTAGCACTTGTCTTCTGTGATGTGTTCATAGTTCCCTGTCTGTGGTTAAGTAGACACAGAGCTGGGTTAAGTCTCCCTCTCTCATTCATTTGCACACACACACACACAAGAGTGCTTCTCTCTTCTCTCAGAATGATGGTTCTGGGTAGAGCTTTTGCTACGGTTTTCTGTTTACTTCAAGCTGTTTCTGGAGAAAGTGGCAATGCACAGAACGGTGAGTCATTTCCAACTTTTTTCTTAAAGGATTTCAGATCACCTCTAGCATAGATGATCAGGTTATTCTGTTCTCTAACAAGCTAGAGCTGGGCAGCAAGAACTTAGCATGTGTTTGCTTATGTCGTATACAGTCACTAGGACAGAGAGCCTGAGGATAATACAGCAGATGGCTTGTAACTCACAAGAACTGTTAAAAAGCAATATGTCTCACTCCGACTCTGGCTCATAAATGTGGATAGATCCTGGTGCCCTAGAAAAGAACCTAATATCAATCCTCTGATTGTGCTTTTTGGAGAATCTTTTCCCAGCCTGTACCTGCCTGAAAGTTATCTTTTGTCTTGCTTAACTATTTATGGAGTTCTAATTTATGGAGTTCTAAAACCATAATATCCATATTAAATTAATGGCCAGAAGCAACAGGTTTGTGTATTCACCAGAATTATATTTCTAGTTTCTAAACATAGGAGTTACTTAAACCTCCAATTTGTTTCTACAAATTAGGCTATTTTCACACACACACACACACACACACACACACACACACACACACACCTACCACACCACGACACACCCACCACACCACACTCTGCCTTGCCTCTTTAGTGAGGGATTAAAGGTATGCACCAGCATGCCTGGCCCACATGTACATTTGTAAACTGGGTATAGAAGCACACACCAGTAATCCCAGAGCAGGGGAGGCTGAGACAGAAAGATCATGAGTTTCGAACCAGCCTAAGTTACAGAGTGAAAGCCTGTCTAAAAATGCATGGGTTTTTTTTTTTTCCTTCATAGACAGTATCAATACAGATAAGTCTAATGACTCAGCTTAGTTCTTTTTAGTCAGGTTCCATTAGTCATGCTTTCCTACGTGTAGATATTTGTGTTCATTTACCTAGTAATTAGTAAGGATGGAAAACCCTCGAATTTACTTACTAAGGGAATTGTCAGATGAGTGACACTTTTTGCTGCGACTGAGCATGAGTCACTTTGGGAGGGAGAGTCATTATCTCATGTGAAGTGTGTGCAGACACATGGCAGGAAGCACGAGAGCTTCATTGCTGTTTGGCACAACACTTCACCACTATGTCTTCCTGCTGGCTGTACTGTCTCTAGCAGGAGTGAAAAATCCTGTCTGAAGACTGGGTTTTCACTTCTGCCTTTTAAATTTCAAAAAAAAAGTTTGATTAGAAAGCATGGAGACGATCGCATGATAATATAAAAATACTTTCCACTTCATGCTTAAAGGAATTCACAAGTAATCTGCTATTGTTTGTTGAAGGGTAAAGCTTGTTTTCTAATAACCATGAGGATGAGCAAAACAAGCAAAGGAAACGTCAAAAGCCCAAACAGTTTACACTGCCTTGCTTATACAATGTATTCCAAATATTTTAAATTTCTATACTTAGAATTTTTATCAAATGCTTAGATATTACTTAAAGATTAAGGATACCTACTATTGAATGCTTAATACATTAACTTACCATTCCATGTAATGTCAAAACCACAGTGGGAATAATAGCTTCAGTTGACACATAATTTTTTCCAAAGGAATTCCAAATGCTGCATGCTTATCTGCATAATTATCATTCACGCATTACCTGTTCATGCTGATTTCTCAAAGACTGATAAGAGAGCTCTCACACACCGTATGAGAACATACAGTGATCTGAGAAAAATTTTGGTGTAGATCTATCTATTCACTGACTCCTATAGAGTGCACAAATGCATCGGACCATGAGGGTTGGGAGTTTGAGTATGCAGAAAGGGGGTACAGCAGCTACAATGTTAGGACAGTGAGGACTCGTGCACATCTGCCCCAAAATGACAGAACTTAACCACTGCATACCCTAGTCTTAGGTAAGAGATCTTCAGCTCACAGCAGGTAGAATAGTCTCCCACAATGGCATGTGATTTTGCCAGTTTTTGTTAGGAATGCTCCTTTGAGTATTACATTACAAAACAACTGTGCCCCATAACAACACCTGTTAAAGATCCAACAAACTGGTCATTCAAACACAGCTACTTTGATCGCAGGAAATTTTGTATGTTCACTTATTTGTGTATTGTGTGAGATAATGTGAGACATACTTTGCCAGACTAGGTAGTTGGAGTCTGGGGAAGTCCTCTGGTGCCTGACATCTATGGAAGTGTGCTTTCTCTGGCTCATGTCAAATATGAGGAAATTGTGTAATAAAGATGACTCACAGGATGTCTATATCAAAATAGAAATTTGTGTGTGTGTGTGTGTGTGTGTGTGTGTGTGTGTGTATTACACAGAGTTGGTGAAAGATCTGAGTATAAGACAGTGTGAGAGCTGAGTGCTGTCATGCAAGGGTAGGCAAATCCACATGCTTTGAAATATGAAATCAACTGTGGGGAAAGTACACTACACAGAAAAATGGGTATAGAAACTTGCTGATGTTCCAGTTGTAGCATGACTGGGTTCTGGGGATACTTAGAAAGTCAAATGCCTGTGACTGCACCCACCATCCATATCCAGGGGACCTGTTAGCTTTATTGGTTAAAATAGTCACTTACCTGGTTGGTCTATTTGCAGCCAATTTTATTAAAACTCCCACAGACCTTTGGAGTTCATTAAACTGCATATAGGTGCCAAGAAATGGGATGGAGCCCATTGTTATTATGTTCTGTTTCCATAATAAAACCTGAAAAGCATAAAAATCTTTGTTTTGGGTGAGAACAAATACCTGGAAGTTGCCAGAGTCTCTCCACATTCCACCATTCTGACTCAAAACTTTGATTACTCTAGATTTTCCTGGTCCTTATTGAAATGTACCCCTTGGAAGATTTTTCTGAGTTTATTCTGCTATTAAATATGCTATTACATGTATACACACACACACAAATACCTATTTAATCATGGGCTCTACAACTCAGATTAGGAAATCAAATGATATCTTTAACAAATTGTGGTTTCCAAAAGTGCCTATACAGACACAAAATTCCATTTCCTACTTTCTATAGAATACAGTATCTGGGAGAAAAATCTAATTACGTAGTCACAAACTTTGGTATCTTCAGGGTTTACTGTTTTATAGATACAGTTGTCTCTGTCAGTCATTAATACAAGATTCTTTCGATTCCAGCACAATGAAGACATCCCTATTATACTTAGTTGCAATGCCCTTTTAGGTAATAAGAAGCAATCTTATAAAAATTTGAACTTACAGCTCAAATATTTATTATCATTTTCTATTTGAAAATAATACTTGGAAGGGAACAAATGTAGACCAACATTGAAAACTAAGGTTGGATAAGGTGCATATGAAAGAAATACAGAAACTTCTTATTTGAAATGTGTAAACACTTCAATGTGAAAAAAAGATAATTTCAATATTTTATAATTTCACAGGAGATTGTTCGTCAACATTTAGAACCTTCTGTATCTGCCAGGAGTTGGCTTTCCTGCATTCGTTAGCTCATGTGGCTTAAGTGGAGGATATAGCCTTAATAAATAACTTCTAAATACAGTTTTAAAGTATAGCAAAGAAATTTTGATAAACAAGGAAAGAGGTTTCTCCATCTCCCTTCTAATTTCCAACACTCTAGTCCATTGGTAGAACAACTTAAATGCACCTGAAACTTATTCCTCGACTATGACAAAATTCTACCAGTTAGAACACACTGTACTCTGCACCTGCATATTGGGTTTTTGGTGTGGAACGGTGTGTGTGTGTGTGTGTGTGTGTGTGTGTGTGTGTGTGTGTGTAACTTTGTCATTGTCTTTATCCTGTGTGTGTGTGTGTGTGTGTGTAACTTTGTCATTGTCTTTATCCTTGGAATTTATTTACTTAGATAAAGTATAAGCCCTCCTTCATGTCTGCCACACAAGTGACATTTTATTAAGGAGTATCAGGTTATCAACCGATGCATTCTTTAGCCTCCTTAATAGCTGTGTTGTGTTCTTCCCCAGGAGACCTAGAAGATGCAGAACCTGATGATTATTCCTTCTGGTGCTATAGCCAGTTGGAAGTGGATGGAAGTCAGCATTCACTGACTTGTGCCTTTGATGACCCAGACACCAATAGCACCAATCTGGAATTACAAATATGGTGAGGAAGATAGTTTCCAGTGTCCTTAGATACCTGTCTCTTGTCTCTCTTCATATATGTTCCTTTCCACTTCTGCAAAGGAAGGAGTTTCTGTTCTAAGTATCAAATACTAAAATTTATTGGGGTCTCAAAACTTCCCGAAATACTTTGTCCATTGCCAAATATGAAAATGAAGCAAGTCTCACTTCATTTGCTAGTTCCCAAGGAAACATACAAATGGTGCTTTGTTTTTTGTTTTTTTTTTTTATTATTTATTCATTCATTCATTCATTCATTCATTCATTTACTCACTTTGGTTTTTCTTTTTTCTTTTTATTTAATTTTATATAACAAAGTCCAATTAAATGAAAACAAACATTTATACACAATATTTGGGAATTTGGGCGTCGTTCTTTCCAAACTACTTCCTGCTGGTAAGGGGCGCTGTCTTGGGGGATTCGAAGAAGATTCAGATATCCTAGCTGTAGTCTGTAGGGCTGTTTTGTCCAGCTATTTGGAATGTAGGATCAGCTTGTACTCTGTTTCAGGCAGTCTGGCATGATCAAACCACATTAGTCTGGAAGGAATCTACATCTTTTCATTTTCTGTGCAAACAAAAATAGAAATCCTTTTCCCCAGTAACTTGTTCTTCAACTTAAATTTTGGAGTCAAAGCGTTTTTTTTTTTAATTTATTATTTTACATGTCGATCCCAGTTCCCTCTCCCTCCCTCCCTCCCTCCCCTCCAGCCCTCCCTCCCTCCTTCCCTCCCTTTTGCCCTCTCTGCCCTCTCACATGCACTCTAAACACCCTCCCCTCCCAACCCCCCACCACAATACCATATGTAGGGGAATGCCATCCAGTTGGGGTCATGTAGATCTGACAGGTCCTGTGAAGTAGGGACTAGGGCTTCTCTCCTATCTCTAGAATAAGGCAGTTATCCCTCCATGGGGCATACGTTTGCAAAGTCCTTTTGTGCATCAGGGATACATCCTGTCTCCACTGTCTGAGGTCTCTTAGACTGCTCAGACTTCTGGCTGAGACCCATATTCGGGGGGTCCGAGTCAGTCCCCTGTTGGCTCCCCAGCTATCAGTCTAGTGGCCCTTAGCTCCTCCTTGTTCAGGTAAGCTGTCTCTATGTACTTGTACCGCATGGTCTTGTCCTCTCCATCTGCTTCTGGGTTCTAGTTCGACTCAGTGTTTATGTATGGGTGTTTTCTCCTATTTTCAACAGGCATTAGTTGAGGACTCCATGGAGAAGTTAGTTGTTGATCTCACTCTCCGGGAAGGGCATTTATGATAGCCTTTCCACGGGAGCTGAGATTGTTAGTTGGGAGCAGTCTTGTAGTTCTCTAGACCTTTCTTTGTGTTCAACTTTATCTTCAAACCAATATTGGCTCCCTCTTTTATGTTCTCTCTCTCTGTCTCTGTCTCTGTCTCTGTCTCTCTCTCTCTCTCTTTCCTATTTTCCATTCCTAACCAGGCTCAATCCTCCTGGTCGCACATGCCTTCCTCTCCTCCCCCCTCATTTTCTCCTACTTCTCTCTCCATTAGCTGTCCTCCCCCACTTTACCTGAGGTCTGGGGGACTTGTCCCTTCCCAGTTCTGTGAGGGACTTTATATGAATCTCTTAGAATACAACTTGTATCCTAGTTCCTCTGGTGATGTGAATTATAGGCTGGTGATCATTTGATCTAGGTCTAAAATCCATATATGAGTGAGTACATACTGTGTTCCTCTTTTTGTGACTGGGTTACCTCATTCAGGATGGTTTCTTCAAGAGCCATCCACTTGCCTGCGAATTTCAAGATACCATTATTTTTTTTCTGCAGAGTAGTATTCCATTGTGTAGATGTGCCACATCTTCATTAACCATTCTTCAATTGAGGGGCATCTAGGTTGCTTCCAGGTTCTTGCTATTACAAATAGTGCTGCTATGAACATAGTTGAACAGATGTCTTTGTTGCATTGATGTGAATCCTTTGGGTATATGCCTAAGAGGGGGGATTGCCGGGTCCTGTGGTAAACTAATTCCCATTTTCCTGAGGAACCGCCATACTGATCTCCAAAATGGCTGTATGAGTTTGCACTCCCACCAGCAGTGGAGGAGTGTTCCACTTTCTCCACATTCTCTCCAACATAAGTCATCATTGGTGTTTCTAATTTTAGCCATTCTGGCAGGGGTAACATGGTATCTCAAAGTTGTTTTGATTTGCATTTCCCTGATAGCTAAGGATGTGGAGCATTTTCTTAAGTGTCTTTCAGCCTTTTTGATTTCCCCCATTGAGAATTCTTTCTTCAGTTCTGTACCCCATTTTTTAATAGGGTTATTTGGTGTTTTGTTGACTAGTTTCTTGAGTTCTTTGTATATTTTGGAGATCAGCCCTTTGTCGGATATAGGATTAGTGAAAATCTTTTCCCAGTCAGTGGGCTGCCGTTTGGTCTTGTCAACTGTGTCCTTTGCCTTACAGAAGCTTCTAAGTTTGAAGAGGTCCCATTTATTAATTGTTTCTTTCAGTGTCTGTGCCCTGGAGTTATGTTCAAAAAGCGGTCTCCTATACCAATTTGTTCAAGGGTACCTCCTACTTTCTCTTCTAAGAGGTTCAATGTGGCTGGATTGATGTTGAGGTCTTTGATCCATTTGGACTTGAGTTTTGTGCATGGCGACAGACATGGGTCTATCTGCAGTCTTCTACACACCCTCATCCAATTGTGCCAACACCATTTGTTGAAGATGCTGTCTTTGCCCCATTGTATAATTTTAGCTGTTTTGTCGAAAATCAGGTGTTCATAGGTGCGTGGATTAATATCAGGATTTTCAATTCGATTCCATTGGTCTACCTGTCTATTTTTATGCCAATACCAGGCTGTTTTCAGAACTATAGCTCTGTAGTAGAGCTTAAAGTCAGGAATGGTGATGCCTCCTGAAGTTCTTTTATTGTATAGGGTTGTTTTGGCTATCCTGGGTCTTTTGTTTTGCCATATAAAGTTGATTATTATCCTTTCAAGGTCGGTGAAGAATTGTGGTGGGATTTTAATGGGAATTGCATTGAATCTGTAGATTGCTTTTGGTAAGATTGCCATTTTTACTATGTTTATCCTACCTAACCAAGAGCATGGGAGGTCTTTCCATTTTCTGGTATCTTCTTTAATTTCTTTCTTTAGAGTCACAAAGTTCTTATTATATAGATCTTTTACTTGTTTGGTAAGCGTTACACCAAGATACTTTATGTTGCTTGTGGCTATTGTAAAGGGTGATGTTTCTCTGATTTCTTTCTCAGCCCCTTTGTTGTCTGAAAAAAAATAGGGCTACTGATTTTTTTTGAGTTTATCTTGTATCCTGCTAGTTTGCTGAAGGTGTTTATCAGCTGTAGGAGTTCCCTGGTAGAGTTTATTGGGTCGCTTATGTAAACTATCATATCATCTGCAAATAGAGACAGTTTGACTTCTTCCTTTCCAATTTGGAATTTGAATCCCCTTGATCTCCTTTTGTTGTGTAGTTGCTTTAGCTAGAACTTCAAGTACAATATTGAAGAGATATGGAGAGAGAGGTCAGCCTTGTCTTGTTCCTGATTTTAGAGGAATTGGCTTAAGTTTCTCTCCATTCAGTTTGATGTTGGCAGTTGGTTTGCTGTATATTGCTCTTATTATGTTTAGATATGTTCCTGACAAATGGTGCTTTGTATCTCAGAGATTCTACATCCTCCATATTCACAGTGATTTAAAGACTATATCTCCTAGAACATTCCTTTAAGGTAGTGGATTATTTTCAAATTCTATTATGTGGTGTAGTTGCCAGGAATCTTGTTGCATTGCCAATGCTTAGTAACTTTTTGACTTTCAGCAAGTTTTTGTAACTTATATATTCCTCAATTGCTTCATCTGAAAATTGAGAGACTGGATCTCACAGGAAGATTATGGTGTTTAAACAATTTAATATGTGTAAAGAGCTCAAAGAAGCATCCAACATTTAATTAGTGATTTCTCTTTTTTTATTTAATTTATTTTACATGTCAATCCCAGTTCCTTCTCCCTCCCTCCCTCCCTCACATTTACCCTTTCTGCCCTCTCACATGCACCCTGACCACCCTCCCCTCCCATCCCCCCCACCCCAATTCCATATGTAGGGCAATGCCATCCAGGTGGGGTCATGTAGATTTGACAGGTCATTTGAAGTAGGGACTAGGGCTTCTAAAGAACATTAAATGATAACTCTATGAATATATATTGAAAGTACCCACCCCCTTGAAACTGCCTGTTAATTCTAGATGATCTAATCAATGGAAATTTTCCAATAATTCATAAGACCACATTGATTCTTGTTTTCATATGGCCTGAGAGGAAAGAAAATGCAAACAAAGCTTTTGGTCTGAAAGTTAGTAAAGAACTCAGGGAGTTTTATCTTTTTCCTCACCCACCAGTCATTGCTTGTTGCCAAGGGTTATTATCTCTGGTGAGTTGAAAAAAATACTCTAATATGAAATTCTGACTCATGGCTATTTCCAAATTCATATCAGATGACCTTTTTTTTTTTTTTTTTTTTTTTTTTTTTTTGGTAAGTTTCCAGACGAGGAAAGTATGCAAGATCTGCAGTAGTAAAAGAAGTCTTCTTAAATTCCATGATCACTAAGGCAGTCCTCTGCCACCTACAATCAAATAAGTTTTAGCTTCTGACTTTACGGAATTTATAGCAGTTTTGAATCTATGCAGCACTTTTTCATGTAGCCATAGGATGAACAAAATCTTGGGTTTAAATGTCATGATATGTCCTCACTCTGTTTTTATTATTGCATTTTTATGACACACTTTTTGTTTTGTTTTGTTTTGTTTTTTGTTTGTTTGTTTGGTTGGTTGGTTTTTTAAGACAGAGTTTATCTGTATAGCTTTGGAGTCTGTCCTAGAACTAGCTTTGTAGATCAGGTTAGCCTAAAACTCACAGAAATCTGCCTGCCTCTGCCCCTGGATGCTTGGATTAAAGGTGTGTGTCACCACCACCTGGCTTTATAGCACACTTCCTATAGA